AAATCTTGAATGATCCAGGAACTGTCAAAAGAAGATGGAGGGAATACACAAAGTCATTGTATAAAATACAACTGACTGATGTGGAATATTGCATATCATGAAGAACCAATTACAATAAAGGAAGAAGTTGAAGCTGTACTGAAGGCACTGTCAAAAAATAAGGCTCCAGTAAATAATGGGATATGGGTGTGTCAGAATTAGTGAGACTGGCTCAGGACAGAGCAGGGTTTAGAGCTGCTGTACATAGGGTTGCTATATATTGCAGGCAACTCAATGTCACATAACAACAAAAACATACTATATTGGTTGGGGTTATTTTGTGTTTTTTTAAATTTTATTTATTTTTTTTTTATTTAAGCCTCTTGTTTAGAGTCAACAAGACCTTGGAGAGAGCCTTTGTATTTAAAAGTTGAAGGAATATTTTTGGAGGAACATTCTTCTAAGTGGTACAGCACTTTTCTGTCAATATGCTGTATTGAGGTAACCTGTGGTTGCTATAATGCTGAACCTTGTGCTGTTCGGGTGTTCAATGCCATAATGGTTACTCATGGTGAACAGTGTTTGGTGGAGTTCCCAGTTTAAGACAAGTTTGGAAGCAGGAGTGCCATCCACTTCCAAAACAACATGCCTCTGGAAACTGTATGAACTTTAGTAAATGACAATAGTTACAGAAAGGCTTAAGGCCTTTCGTTCATAGGGTCACTATGAGTTGTGCTCGACAACTCATAGCAACAATCAACAACAACATCACAGCACTAAATAATAACAAAAGAACCCTGGTTGCACAGAGGTTAAAGCACATGGATGCTAGCAGAAGCCACCACCAACTGCTCTGAGGGGGAAAGGTGAGGCAGTCTCCTTCTGTAAAGATGTTTAGCCATTCTTCCAACCACAACAGTCTTGCAGGTTCCCTATGAGTCAGAATTAATTGATTCTGTTTTGGTATATTCATGTAACTTGCTTTAACAGAAAACAAAGTGTGGTTTTAAAAAATAATAATGTATAATAACTTACATAGTTATGTATAGGGAAAATCTAGTGGCCTAGAAGGTGCAGCACTATCATCTCAACAAAGATTAGTTCAAATCCACCAGCTGCCTTGTGAGAGAAAGATGAGCGGGCAATTTCCTCCTGAGTTACAGCCTCTGAAAACCCCCTGGCAGGTGAGCTACGGTTCTGACTTCAGGACAGTGAAAGAAATAGAGATGTGTAATAACAACCATGGGCACCCCAGATTTTGTGCTAAGCACTTGATTTCCTACAGATTATCTCAGGGAGTTCTTGAAACCATCCTATGTGGCATCCACTTCCTAAACAACAAGCCTCTGGAAACTCTGTGAATTTGATAAATGGTGATGGTTGTGGAAGGGCTTCAGGCCTTTTGTTCATGGGGTTGCTGCGAGTCGTGCTCAACTCAATGGCAGTCAACAACAATAACATCAACATGAGGTAGATGGGAAACAGAGCTTTGGAATATTCATGAAACTTGCTTTAAACTGCACATCAAAATTAAATGGTGGAAGCATGATTTTAAGTCAGACTTTTAGATAACCTCAATGTTTATGATTTAACCCAATGTTGAATGCCTACTTTATCCTCAGTTAAATGGGAAAATTTATCACATTTTAACCCTGTTTCTTTGCCCTTCAGATTTTAAATCCTTGTTTATCTTACCATTTCTCAATTAATACCGGAGTGCTAATAATTATAAAACATTAAACTATCCTTGGCCTGCTGTTTGGGGATGGATTTCTTTGCTTCCTTTCTTGACACAGGTTATTCTGCTTTATAAAACTCATGTATGTTTCCTGACTCCACTTAAGACTGATTCTCCTTCTCCTAATTTGACTTCTACTTGAGGTGAAACAAAGGGGTGAAAAGGAACTCTGATGGCCAAGTGGTAACAGTCGTGTGGCCAACCCAAAGGCAACCCACTAGCTGCACTGAGGGATAAAGATGGGCAGTCTCCTGTGCAATTTATAGCCCCTAAAAACCCACAGGAGGGTCAGCTCTGAGTTGGTTCTGAGTCAAAGATACATAATAACAACAATGTAAGGTGAAAAGATCAAAGCAAGAAAACAAGGAGATTAACATATAGGCCTAACTGTTTTAAGGTAGTGGCCTAGTGGTAAGAAACAGTGCTGCAATCCTGAAGGCACGTGGTTCAAACCCACCAGCTGCTCTGAGACAGAAGGATGAGCAATCTTTTCCTGTGTGATTAACTGCCTCTGAAAACCCATCAGAGGGTCATCTACCAACAACTGTCTTAAATTAACAGTTGAGCATGTTGTTGTTATTAGGTATCATAGAGTTGAATAAAACTCATAGCAGCTCTATGAACAACAGATCTGAATCCTGTCCTATCCTGTGCCATCTTCACACTTCCTGACACATTAGAGCCCATTGCAGCAGTCACTGTGTCAATCCACCTGGTTGAGGGTCTTCCTCTTTCACTGACCCTCCACCTTTAGCAACATGCCCGAAACATGTGAGATGAAGCTTTATCATCTTTGCCTCCAAGGAGCACTCTGGTTGCTCTTTCTCCAAGATATTTGTTTGTTCTTTTGGCAGTCTGTGGGATATAAAGTGCTCGTTAACAACACAGCTCAAAGGCATCACCAATTCTTCTTCTGTCCTCCTTACTCACTGTCCAGCTCTCAGATGCATAGCAAGTGATTGAAAAGACCATTACTTGAATTTGTCTTATCTTGGTTAATTTCAACCCACAGCAACCACATGACAGAGTAAATCCCACATGAAAGAGTCGAGCTACCCTTGAGTTTTGTAGGATATAATCTTTATGGCAGTAAATCACACAGGAGGAGATTGCCCAGTATTCTCCTGCGGAGCAACTGGTGGGTTCAAGCCACATGAGTTCAGGATTGCAACACAATTTCTTACCACTCGGCTACCACAGATCCCTCATCACTCATATCACATGCAAGCAAAATCTTGCTGAAGATTATCCAAAAATGAGTGGAATAATACATTTGCAGAGAACTACCAGAGATACAAGCTGGGTTTAGAAGAGTCTGTGGCACTAGAGACATTATTGTCAATGTCAGTTGGATCTGAGCAAAAAGCAGCGAGTACCAGAAGGATATCTATCTGTGTTTCATTGACTATGTACGGCATTTGACTGTGTGGATTACAACAAATTGTGGTTAACCTTGAGGAGAATGGGAATTCCAGAACACTTGATTGTGCTTATGTGAAACCTATACTTGGACCAGGAAGTATTCCTCAGAAGAGAGCAGGGAAACACTGCATGGTTCCAAATCAGAAAGAGTGTGTCAGGGATTCATCCTGTCTCCTTGCTTTTTCAATATATATACAGAGCAGATCATTCAGGAGGCTAGGTTTTATAAGGAGAAATGTGGCATCAGTATTGGAGGAAGACTCATCAACAACCCATGTTATGCAGATGACACAACCTTGCTTGCTGAAACTGAAGAGGATCTGAAGAGCTTGTTGCAGAAGATCAAGGACTGTAGTCTTCAATATGGATTGAAGCTCAACATCAAGAAGACAAAGATTGTCACCAGTGGGACAAATAGTAGCATCATGATGGACGGCGAAGAGATTGAGGCTGTTAACAGTTTCAGCTTGCTCAGTTCCACAATCAGCACACCTGGCACCAGCAGTCGGGAAATCAAAAGATGGATTGATTGCATTAGGTAAATCTGCTATCAGAAACTTTTCTGTTTTCTGGAGTGCTGAGAAGCAATGATGTCAGTCTAGAAACTAAGATGTGCCTGATCCAGTCCATGGTCTTCACAATTACTTGCTCTGAATCAGTTGTTGTTATTGAGTACTGTTGAGTCAGAACCAACCCATAGCTGAACCTCTGGTGTATTTCAGAGGCAGTGAGTCATTCAGGAGGAGATCACCCATCCTGATCCCAGTGCCTTCAAAATTGCATCACACCTTCTTGCCACTAGGCCACAGAGCAGAGAACTGCCTAATTACTAAGGATGATAGAAGAGGAATTGATGCATTTGAGTTGTGTGCTGGAGAAGAGTCTTGAACATACCATGAACAGACAAGAAAAAAATATGTCTGTCTTGGAGGGTGTGAAATCAAGTTTCTCCTTGGAAGGTAGGATTTTGAAGCTCTGTTTTACATACTCTGGACATGTGACCAGGAGAGACCAATCCCTGGAGAAGGACATCATGCTTGGAAGAATGAAGGGACAGCACAGGTGAGGAAGACACCAGATGAGATGGATTGATACAGTGACTAGGACAATGGGGGTAGGTGTGTTGGAGTCAGTGAGACTCGCTTAGGACAGGGCAGACTTTGGGGCTATTGTACATAGAGTTAGCTATGAGTTGCAGGTGACTCGACGGCACATAACAACAACAACAACAATCTTTATGGGGATAGATTACCAGGTCTTTCTCCTGAAAAGCTAATGGGTAGGTTGAACAATTGAACCACTAGGACATTTTGCCTAAGATCTAGTAGAAGTGACAAAAAGATATTTGGTCCCAGATCTGTCTTACTCCAAAGTTCATATTTCTGCAGTCACATGTGAAAACAGAGCTTCAAATAAGTTTATTCTGGTGTAATGATTTGCTGAGAATTTCCACCTCAAACATACACTTGATCAGAATCTACATTTTAACAAAATCCTCATGATTCCCATGATTGTTATATATACATCATCTTATATATACTTAAGATCCAATAATCTTATTAAAGAATAATCCACTTAATATATCTGGAGTAGAAATAATAAGATCTCACCAGGCAGGGCTTGATTAGAAGTCTTGTTTTAAAATACCTTTATTTCAATCTAAATATTTAAGAGTCCACACCAGAATAAGACTTGGCAATGTTCATGCATTTGAAAACCCAGCAGTCTGCTGAAGAATGTGCAACCTATGTAGACCCTGAGAAAAACAATGCTACAGAGATTGCTGCAGACTTCAGTTGTCAGTTCCGAGGCACGGCTGTGCAATCCTGGGAAACCACATCTGCAGGATGACTTATCTTACCTTGGAAGCAACATAAAGTTAAGTCTGTCTGCTCTGTCCCTCTCTGCCTTGTACAGCTGTGTCCTTTCTTCCACCAGATGTTCCAGATTTCGAGAATAGAGTTGTAGACGTCGGATCAAAGTGTCCATGTAGCTTTCATTTTTTTGGTCATGAAAAAGGCTGTAGGTAGTAACATATAAAGAGCTCTTACACATTATTAAAAAAATGAATATCTACTAAAATAAATGATTAACAGATATTTTTTAAATTAAAAATATAATGAACAAGTAATTTAAAAACGTAAAGTAAAAATGATCAACAATTTAATTTTGCAACAATAGTAATAAGAACCAAAGTATGCCTGTACATATGTATATAGGAAGGCATATGTGAGTATATGAATGTTCTTACAGAAGGGTATCTGTAGGCAAATGTGCATACATATTATGTATTTTAAATACGTGGGGTGATAAAAAAAAAACAAAGAAGGAGGCATAGTTATGATTATTTTCTAAACATAACCAAACACCTGTTGATATTGGCATACTGAGTTTGATGTTTCAGGACCATAATCTCATGAGTCATGGTCAATTCATACAGCAAATTATAGTTCATAATTCATAGTTCATAAAGATAAGGTTTGATAAGTAGTCTCTGGGTTCTTAAAAATTTGTGAACAGCCATCTAATGTACAATTGTTGTTGTTGTTGTTGTTGATTGTCAACCAGTTGAGCACAACTCATAGTGATCCTGTGGACAAAAGACCTGAAGCCTTTCTATAACTGTCATCATTTCCTAAAGTTCATAGAGTTTCCAGAGGCATGTTGTTTAGGAAATGGATGCCACTCCTTCTTCCAAGATACAACTATTGGTCTCTGTTTATTCAGCACAAAATGAAAAGAAGAAAACCAAAGACTCAAAGAAGAAACTAGTCTACAGTATTTCACACTGTTCAAACCATGGACTCTTCAATCTTGAGATATGAACAACTAAATGGTGCCTGACCTGATCAGGGATACCACTGATATGCCAGATAGAATGGCAAAAACATGTAGGATAAAACTCAAATCTTTAGAAAAGGCCAAACTTCCTAGACCAATAGAAACTAGAGGAAACCCTGAGACTATTGTCCTGGAATCTTTTCTATGTTTGGAACTGAAATCAATCGTGGAGGTAATATTTCAGCCAAGTAAAAGTTTGGTTCATAAATAAATGCTATCACCTATGAATACTGCTGCTTTAATAATCCTCTCTTGAAGTAGTGTCTTACTCTAAATAATCATCTCTTTTGAGATCAAATGGTTAACATATACTGTAAAGGTGATAATGTAAGGGTGAGAGAGTGAATCTAGATTGATGGAAACAGACAATTAAAATGAGAATTATAAGAATGCAGACACATGGTGAAATTTAACCACTGTCACTAAATAATATGTATATTGCTAAGTTCTATTGAGTTGGAACCAATTTATAGCTGACCCTCCAATGGGCTTTTAAGGCAGTAAATTGCACAGAAATAGATTGCCCAGCTTTCTTTTTCAAAGCAGCTGGTGGATTCAAACCTCTTGCCTTTGGGTTGACAGTATAACTCCTTACCACAAGCACCAGACGTCCTTAGCAATATGTATAGACATTACTAAATTGAAACCTGATTTGCTGTGTAAACTTTCACAAAAGTGCAATCAAGTATTAATTTGATTTACATAACCAAGAAATCTAACCTCCTAAGAAATTAAAGAAAGAGCACTAAATTTAACAAGAGAAAATGAAAAATTCCTGTCAATAAGAGAAAAAAAATACTGTTGGAACAACAGTAATAAATATGAGTGTATAAAAATATAGAGTACTATATTTATTTGTGTGCAAACTGAAAAGATTTATCAAAAGCTTTAAAAATGCATATACCTATTTGTCTATCTACTCCTAAGAATTGTCCCAAGGAAACAATCAGGGATGTGTTAATGGTAAGGAAGTTATAGCAGCCTTATAATAGCAAATGTGAAAATAACCTAAATGTGAAATCCTAGTTATTATGATACAGTGAAATATTAAAGTATTATGAAATATTAATTAGAATAGTTAAATATAAAAAAGATGTTGTGAAGCAAAATAAATTTCTAAAGTAGTAAAATTGATTTATATATTTTAAATATTGGAGATAGTCTTTCGGAACACAGGGAATATTTTAAATTTCTTGTCTGATCACTTGCATTTTCTAAATATTTTATAATAAACAATTTTCAGCTCCAGAAAGGACATTTTAAAGACACTGTAGATGTAATAAATAGACATTTGAGAGCAGGGTTGTGAAAAACATAGCTTAACCTCATGTCTCACATATCTTTCGGAACAGAGAGCCACAGAATTGGAGTCCTAAAGTGAAAAAGCTAACTCTTGATCTTGAAAAATGAATTTGGTATCTGTATTGGGATTGCA